TCCTTCACACCACCTTCTTCGCCACTATCACATCCGCCTTCTTCACCTGCCACAGTTCGTTCTCCTTCACCGACAAGCTTTGATATGTTTCCACTAGTCTGCGAGAACCCACCGATCAGGGCTTTGACGGCTTCACAATATTATCTTATTCACGAAGCCTATTATTCTACTCCTTTGCCGAATAATATATTGTTTCCGTGGTTACATGGAGTCGATGGTACTAACCTTCAACAGAATAAATTTTTTGACATACATGAATGTTCCGTGCCTGAACATCGCGGAGTGACCGTGGTACAGGCTGAGGAAGGAACATTGAAGTGTCAATTGGTGGGATCAGTCTACCCGAGTGATATACTGGGTCAAAATTGTACCGAAGATGGACAAACTGTGAGAGGCTTTTTAAAAGTATCCGACGGAGAAGGTATTAATTTAAGGAATTTCAAGATTCAAGTAGCGAAATACGCCACACTCTCAGATATCATTGTATACGGTGAAGACGGTGGCCTGAGTGAGAATGTGTTGGAAATTGCAAAGCAAGCGGCGTGGGCTCAACAAATCTTCCGAAAGGACAAACCAAATTTAATGGAGTATGAAGTTTTTGTGATAGTCGGTAAGATTATCCACACGATAATCAAAAATTTCTCACCGATGAATTGATCAGATGTTAGGATTGAATAATTAAACTGATTGATTCCTTTATTTTACGTGCGACGAATCACTCTTAGAGCCATTTTCCTATATTGAAGCAGAATTTCCCGAACTCGTCGCAATCGACAGTCAGGGGATTATACGCAACAAGATCATTTTTCTGGAGCAGAAAGAGAAGAAATGCGATTGCTGACATCTGCCTCCGAAATTTCGACAAACGTCTGGGTAAATAATTTGTGGATCGTAGATACCACAATAAATCCACAATTCCCATTTTGCACCACTGATCGAGGAATGAAATATAAATAAACAAATATACACATGCACATACATATATATATATGTTTGTTTATTTGTACTATCTCCTCTTGATCATTTATTATATGCGCATGCACGAGCAATCAATTAATCGACTTTGATCATTATTAGTTGGGAAATACACAGGACGTTCCTATTTCAAGTGATTTTGATCCTGCTGACTCGGCCATCTCATTGATCGACGATAACCCACACCAATTCTGCGTGTGCATAGAGTCACATGATCTTGCTGAGATGCCGGATCAGACGACACTTTGTCTCGCGACTGAACAGCTTGCGCTTTTGCCTAATTCTAGACCTTCATCGATCGATGATATCATACACCTGGATTGCATATCATCAGGTGTTGGTTGTATCACAACAGAAATGTTCGACCTGAAAATCACAAAATTATTAGATCTTTGTGAGTTCATCTCGAATCAAGCGAAAAATTGTGATCATAAGATTTTGGTCCACTGTGCTGACGGTTACACGGAAACCTCGCTTCTTGCGCTTACATATCTAATGTTTCAAGAGAATTTAACCCTTCCACAAGCTTACCTTAAACTCCAAAAGACCCGTAGTTTCTTTGTATATCAAAATGATGTGATCACCCTGAGAAAAATTGAGAAACGCGTGTTCGAGAAGAAAGGAATTGAATATGACGAAAAGAAAAATTTGGAAAAATATCCGTGGTTCGATTCGCCACAATTTGAAGGAAGCTTTCCGAGCAGAGTTTCACCTTTCCTATATTTGGGAAATTTAAATCACGCCTGCAATGCGAACATGTTAAAGGCTCTCGGAATTACTCACGTTCTGTCGGTTGGTGAGGATGCGAAATTAGATAGGAATGCCTTTAAGATACAATTTTTGGACAATCTATTCGATGATGGAATTGACAGCTTATGGAATCATCTAGACTCATGTGTTAATTTCATCGGTGAGTTAACCTTTGAATGTCGCGTAATCGTAACACAATTAAATCTCAACCACTTTATTCTCTACCAACAGAGGATGCGCGTACGTCAAATGGTGCCGTTCTGATCCATTGTCGTGTTGGAGTCTCACGCTCCGCCACCATTACGATCGCCTATATCATGCGACACCTTGGTCGTTCGCTTGTCTCTTCCTATTTATTTGTTCGTGCCAGACGCCT